ACAATCTAGCTACTCAAGAGGATCTGAGGATCGCAGTTCAAAGCCAGCTCAGGCAGGAAAAGTCTGTGAGACTCTTATCTCCACCAGAAAACAGGAAGTGGCGCTGTGGCTCAAGTAATAGAGTGCTAGCCTTGAGCTGAATAGCTGAGGGACAGTGCCCAGGCCTTAAGTTCAAGCCCCATAACCACCACCACCACCAACAACAACAAAAAGAAAACTGAGAAATGGCTGAAGTTAAGTTCAGCTTTACATCAAGAAATGGCTGAAGTTAAGTTCAGCTTTACATCAAGTCCTTTCTAAACCACCATGTCCTGGGCATTGTGCCAAACACTTGACTTAGGTGGTATTCATCTATACAGGAGCCTGCCAGGTATGATCGTTCACCTATATTTTTACCTGTGAGAAAGCTGAAGCTCAGAAAGAAATGTCAAACAGTTTTAAGCCAGAAGTTATGGTTCTATGTTACAGAATATTACTATGAAACAACTAGGATAAAGAGGGTAACAGGACTGGGAAGGTGGTTCAGTGGTAGAGCGCTTGCCTTGCATGCCTGAGGCCCTGGGTTCAATTCCTCAGCACCACATAAACAGAAAATGCTGGAAGTGGCACTGTGGCTCAAGTGGTAGAGTGCTAGCCTTAAGCTGAAGAGCTGAGAGACAGCACCCAGGCCCAGAGTTCAGCCCCCACGACTGACCCCCCCCCAAAAAAAAGAGTGATAATACCTAAAGGGCATGAAATAGCAACCAAGGAAGTCTGTATTTTATGGAGAAAGAAGATGAGCATTAAAAAATAGTTGAATAACTAATATACAATGAATGAGTTTTAGGAGGGTGAATCATACCAATTATTATCATGTAGCTCTCACTCAAAGCCTCTTCCTCAGAGATGTTCTATTAACCAGATAATTGCTCAATGCACTTCCCACTCTGTGTGTGTGTGTGTGTGTGTGCATATGTGTGCGTGCACAGGTCATGGGGCTTGAATTAAGTGGCTGGGTGATATCCCTGAGCTTCTTTTTTTTAACAACATCAATTTTTTTGTCTTTTTTTTTGTTGTTGTTGTTGGTCATGGGGCTTGAACTCTGGGCCTGGGCACTGTCCCTGTGCTTTTCAGCTCAAGGCGAGTGCTCTACCGCTTGAGCCACAGCGCCACTGAGCTTCTTTTTTGCTCAAGGCTAACAGTCTACAACTTGAGCCACAGCTCTGCTTCTGGTTCTTTTGGTGTTTAATTGGAGATACAAAGCTCACACTTTTCCTTCCTGGTCTGGCTTTGAATCTCCATCTTCAGATCTCCACCTTCAGAGTAGTTAGGATTATATGTGTGAGCCACTGGCACTAGGCATTTTTGACCCACTAGGCACCCTCCCCCTCTCCCTCTCCTTCTCTTCCCTTCCCTCTCTCTTCCTCCCTCCCACTCTTCTCATCCTTCTTTCCCCTTCCCTTCTCCTCCCTTCACCCTTTCCCTCTCCCTCTCTCACTCCCTTCTTTTCCCCCTACTCTGATCCCACCCACCTTTCCCCCTCTCTCCCATCTCCCTCCTCCTCTTCATTTTATTCTCTTGTTCTCTTGTTTTTTTCTTTCTTTTAAAAATATTTTAGCATTAGTTATATTAGGGAATGACATTTTACATATGCATAAAATAAAATCAGATTCATACCTTATGTCTTTCTCCCTTATCTGCCTCGTTTTTCCAGCAACAAATTTCAACAAGTTTCATGGTTCCATTTTCACAGATGGACACAAAGTATTTTGGCAATATTCACACTGCTCCTTTTCTCTCCTACCTCCCACGAGCATTCCCATCCTGGACAGGACTTGTTTTATATTCTCATCTTGAATTTTTTTTAGTATATGCAGGGTTTTATAGTGGTATTTCATATATTCTTATAGAGTTTTAATCAAGCTGATCCCTTCATTTACCCCGTACTCTTTCTCTTATTCAACAACTCTCAGTGAGTTTTATCTTGCTATCTTTATTCATAGATGCAATGTATATTAGAATTGTATACCATCTACCTTTTCCTGTGCAATGTCCTCAAACAGTCTCACACAACTAAAACATGTTCTTACCTATCTATCTATCATCTACCTATTTGATCTTATTTTTACAATAAAATATATATTTTTGTATATATTTTATTGTAAAAATATTGTACAGAGGGGTTACAGGTATATGAATAAGGTAATGAGTACATTTCCTATCGAGCATTATTACCTCCTCCTTTGTTTTTCCTCTACCATCCCTTCCCTCTCCACTTTCCCAACTTCTCCTCCCCCCCCCCCAAGTTGTAAAGTTTGTTTTTAACCTAGTGTCCTGTACATCTCATTGTTACAATGGGTCAACCTGTATCCTGATTTCAGCATTTTGTTATTTCCCTTCCTCTCCCCAAATTAGAAAAATGTATATACAAGATGCAGGGCACCAGAATCAAATACAGTGAAAACAGGGGTTAGACTATGGGGGAAGAACATACAAAAGAAACAAAAAAAATCACATGGTACATTATAAGTACATTAAAAACAACGGCAAGAAAGATAAAACCTCTTAAGTCCCTATCTTGGGGTTCATTTCATTTAGCATCATATTATTTGGTCATATGTACAAAGCTTTTGATTTCTTCTACTTGTCCTAGACATATACTAGTTATTGCAAATAAGGGAAACCATGGGCCTATGTTTCTTTGGGCCTGGCTTACTTTGCTTAATATAATTTTTCCAAGTCTTTCCATTTCCTAAAAAATGGGGCAGTGTCGTTGTTTTTGATGGAGGCATAGAATTCCACATTCCATATATATACACCACATTTTCTTATATGCTTTATTTTTTAGGTTTGGCAATCATATATGAGGGAAAACATTTGACCTTGGTCCTTCTGAACCTGGTTTCTTTGTTCAACATGACATTCTTTGTATAGCATGTACAATATTAAATTATTTGTTCACTTGTTGAATTTATCAGTCTTTTCCACTGAATATAAGGTTATGAAGGCAGGGGTTTTCTTACATCCATTGCTGCATGTAGTGCTCTGTCTAGGAGCAATGAGTAACTCCTGGAAGTACATGATCTATTAAGAAATGAATGGGGGCTAGGAAGGTGGCTCAGTGGTAGAGCGCTTGCCTTGCATGCCTGAGGCCCTGGGTTCTATTCTCAGCACCACATAAACAGAAAAAGCCGGAAGTGGCACTGTGGCTCAAGCGGTAGAGCGCTAGCCTTAAGCTGAAGAGCTGAGGGACAGCGCCTAGGCCCAGAGTTCAGGTCCATGACCGGCAAAAAAAAAAAAAAAAAATAATGGGCAAAGGTATAAAAAACAGTACTAAGAATCTACAAATATGTGTATATATATTTAAAATATTGAGATGTCTCTATGAGCTTTTCTTTTGGGGTGGGAGGAGTTGCTGGTCATAAGGCTTGAACTCAGGTCCTGGGCGCTGTCCCTGAACTTTTTTGCTCATGGCCAGCACTCTACTACTTCGAGCCCCAGTGCCGCTTCCAGTTTTCTGGTGTTTTAATTGGAGATAAGAGTCTCATGGGGAACCAATACAACAGTGCTACTGACAAGACAATATGTTCGAAATGATCTGTAAAACTTGGGGGTCGTTGTTGGGGAGGGAAAGTGGGAGAAAAATGAGTTTGTAAAATGTTCATCAAGAAATGTACTCACTACCACATTATGTAACGGTAACCCCTATGTACATCACCTTGATAATAAGATTAATTAAAAAATAAACAAAATAAAATTAAAAAGGAAAAAAAGAGTCTCATGGACTTTCCTGCCTGGGCTGGCTTTGAACTGGCTTTGACTTCTGAGTTGCTAGGATTACAGACTCAAGCCACAAGTACCTAGTTAAATCATGAAGTTTTTCTTTTTCCTAAAAATTGAGTGTGTCACCCCATAACTTAGTCCATGTTCATTAAGTGAAACAAATCTTGATCAGTTAACTAGTTAACTAATCAGTTAACTAATGTCCTGTTAAGAATTATAAATGTGTAACTATTTCTTACTTCAACATCCACTTTCAGTTAAAAAAATCCCTTCTTACAAAAATTATGTAGAGTCCAAGTGAAAATTTTTTTTTTTTTTTTTTTTTTTGCCAGTCATGGGCCTTGAACTCTGGGCCTGGTTGCTGTCCCTCAGCTCTTCAGCTCAAGGCTAGCACTCTACCACTTGAGCCACAGCACCACTTCTGGCTTTTTTTTTGCTTATGTGGTGCTGAGGAATCGAACCCAGGGCCTCATGCATGCAAGACAAGCACTCTACCACTGAGCCACCTTCCTAGCCCCCAGTGAAAAATTTTAAATCAAGCATGTTTCAAATGAGTAATGCTCTCATAGAATTACAGTATCCAAAACAACACAAATTAAGGCACTCCTCAGAGCCTGCTCTGATGGGTTTGTTGGTTTCACTGGGGAGGAACTGTATGCCATGAAAGGGTGGATAGAATCTGAGTCAGAGCACTGATTCACCAATCTGTGGTGGTATTTCATGGGAGGGACGCTCAGATGACCAGTCAAGTAATATCTATTGTTTTTCTTCCCCTAAGGACCAACTCAAAGAGAATTTTCATTTCTTTCTTTAACCCACAGATCCACAACTGTCATCACACTTGTTGGACAAGTTTCCTTTGAAATTACTTTCAGCTATGTACCAACCCTTAAAGTCTCAAACTATCATTGTGGTTAGCACATTTACCCGAGAACCACCGATCAGCACTAAAGGAATACAGAGGCTTCCATTACCTCCATTCACAGCAGCAGCCTTTATTTCACCACAATATGTATAGGTAAGTACAAATTTACCTGCCCAAAATTCTGACAAAAATATTCCATTCCACACTGTCTCCTCAATGTGACTGTCAGCCAAGGCTGCAGTGTAGCAGTTGAGTTTAGATGAGAATGTATTTCCACAACATTTTGGATTTTCTACATGGGACAACTTGAACATGCACTTGTTTCTGCAGTGTGGTTTTAAATCTTGATTTGGAGAGTGCTCAGAAAACCGACATGCAGCTTCATAATCAGTGAGTGAGAAGTAGTGTGAATGTGTGTGTGCTGACATGTAGAGAAGAAACATCAGAGAGAACATTTTCTTCTCTCATAAATCAAAGAATAAAATTCTTGGTAGTGATGTGAATACGGCTTTCAACAGTGACTTCAGCAATTTTACCTCGAACTTCACAGTACCATGGCTTTATTGATGTTTTCTATGAACCTTTTATAAATCCTTTATGCTGCATGTTAAATGTTCATGAGCCCAAACCCTTCGATTATATTTAGACAACTTTTAATTGTTTTAAAAGTATCTAACTAAATAATTATCATATTAAGAGACCAGTGATCATTAACAAAAATTAAGAATATGATTTTGGTTCATAAACAGTCATCATAAAAATATATGAAATATAGAAAATTTGCCTGCATCAAATGTTAAAATGTTTGATGTTTATATTACTGAAATATAAATGTGTATCATACATATTTTTCTAAAATTTATTAATTTTTTGTGTAATTAGCTGAACCCTTTGACATATGTATATATATTCACAATTTCTAGCATTCATGTTAAAGTGTGATTAGAAGGATATTCAATATATCTGTATTTGCTAAATATATTTTTGAATTGAATAACTTTTTAAACTAAATAGCGTTTTTTTAAATTAAAAAGATTGTTTTATTCACGAAACAATGTTGATGTTTGCTTACTGGCCCTATCTCTGACCTATCAATAAGAGAGTGATCATACACATTTAGAAGTTGAAAAAAAAACTAGCATGCTTTTTTATTTTGTCGGAGTTAATGACCAGCTTTATGTTAACATATATGATAAATTTCATTTATAGAACATCTATTCCTTCTTCTCTATCATTTTATGCTTATGTGAAGTCCTAATCTGAAAAATTTTAAGGGATTATGTTATTGTTTCTAAGAACTGTTAGATAGCTATGGAGAGTTCAAGCACTAATTCACAGATAAGCTTCTCAGAGTCAGACATTGAGTTAATTACACAACAGATACTGGCTGTGTTTGAGACTGTGGTTGATGCAGCAGATGAGTTTAGGAGGCTTGGGTGAATTTGTGGTTACACATAGGTTCCTGAGTGATAAATGGTTAAAAGGAATGAGAGAAACATCAGAAGTGAAAGTAAAGACTTCAGAACCAAAATTTATCATTTTCATTTAGTTTCATTTTGAACTAGTCACATAGGATAGAATGGGAAGAATCTTTCTCAGAAGAAAGCTGTTTTAGACTATTGCCAACAAGACAATGAGAAGTTCAAATCCAGTAATTTTTATGGCAAAGTGTATTTTATATTCTTAATCCTCTCGTGATTTTTCTGAAGACCTTAATCTTGATTGCTGAATATTGGCTGACAGCTGAAATTATTTAATCTATATTACACTTTATAAGATCTTAATGTTACTTCTTAAAAATAGCTAAAAATATCCTGAGTGCTGAAGAAGATCAAAGGACATATATATATATATATATATATACATATATATGTGTGTATGTGTATTATACAAATATATACACATATATCTGTGTATATGTATATATACCTACATGTATATACAAAATATACACACATATATACAATATATATCATATATAGGACAAATCATATAGCGAATGCATATGTAAGGTATAAAGGATACAGAGCCTATATATTGACATATAGAATATAAGATATAGTATATAGAATATAAAAATGTATGTATATGAATATATGTGGTATCTTCATATATATGATTCATATATATTTGTGAATCTGAATAAAGTCATCCCCAATCATACATAAATCATACTTCTCTCTCCTACACACACACACACACACACACACACACAAACACACACAAATCCACACATATGTGTGTGTACATGTTGGAAGAGTTTGGGTGCCAGTGGCTGATACGTATGCTCTGAGTTAATACTAAGGATGTTTAAACTTGGTGGATCATGTTTCAATATCAGCCCAGGCAGAAAAGTCCTCAAGATCTATCTCCAATGAACCAGCAAAAATACCAGATTGGAGGCATGGCTTAAGTGGTAAAGCACCAGCTATGAGCAAGAAAACTGAGCTAGATCTTGAGGCCTCAAATTCAAGTCTTGGCACTGGCACAGAAAAACAGTGGGAGGAATGGGAGTAGAGTGAACGAGGTGAATATCTTCAAAGTGCAGTGTGTGCTTGTGTGGAGATAGTATAGTAAACCCCTTATACTAAGTGTATGCTAACTATAAATAAAATAAAAAATTATTAATTGATTGGATTACATATACAATCACAATCCACAGAAAAGAAGCTTGAATTCTGCTTTCACACCAACATCTAGTCAAATTATAAGACATATTATCTGATAATTTTTTATCATTTGTTTATTTATTTTTATTGTCAAGGTGATGTACAAAGGGGTTATAGTTACATAAGTAAGGTAATAAGTACATTTCTTGTTGAACTTGTTACGCCTCCCTCATTTTTCTCCCACTTTCCCTCCCCTTCCCTTCCAAGTTGTACAGATAATTTCCAACATATTATCTTTTCCAACATGTTATTGTGAGTATTGCTGTTGCATTGGTTCCCCTCTTGTCCTTTCTCTAATCATTTTGTTGTTCCCTTTCCCTTCCCTAATTCAGCTAACTATATATACAATACCCAGGCTACCAAAATCAAATACAGTGACAACAGGGGATAAACCACAGGGAGAAGAACACACAAAAGAAACAAGAAATCACATAGTACATTAAAAACACAACAATAGAAGTAGATATTGTTCTGTTTATATAAAAATATACATTATGAAAACAAAGTATGGAGGTAGAAATTTCCCTGAACTATACCAAAACCTGTTCTGAGTTAAAGTTTTATATGTTTTTTCTTTCTTGCTATTGTTTCTAACATATTTATAAGATATTTCTTTGTTGCTTTGTATGTCCCTCCCCCACGGTATAACCCCTGTATTTGATGCTAGTATAATTTGTGGAGGGGAAAGGAAAAATAAATTGTTTAAATGGGGATACATCGTGGCCCATTGTAACAATGAGATGTGCAAGATGCTATGTCGAAAATGAACTTTACAACTTTGGCAAGTGGGGGGGGGCGGATGGGAAGGAATGGGAAGGGGAAACAAAGGAGGAGGCAACAATGCTTGATAAGAAATGCACTCATTACTTTGCCCATGTAATTGTAACCCTTCTATACGGTATTTTCACACACAAAAACAAAGTTAAAAAAAAAAAAGAATCACATGGGCTGGGAAGGTGGCTCAGTGGTAGAGCGCTTGTCTTGCATGCATGAGGCCCTGGGTTCCATTCCTCAGCACCACATAAGCACTAAAAGCTGGAAGTGGCGCTGAGGTTCAAGTGGTAGAGTGCTAGCCTTGAGCTGAAGAGCTGAGGGACAGCGCCCAGGCCCATGACTGACAAAACAAAAACAAAAAAGAATCACACACAGAGATCCCAATTAAGAGATATGGAACAGGAAGACTATCAGTGAAGAGCAAAGAGTGGCCTCATCCTGCTCAAGGTTTGAGGAAAAAGGAGTTATGAAATCATTTTTTCTAGGAAATGAAATGAAACATCAGTAGAAGATGCATTTTTTAAAAAAGGGTTGTTTTTGAGAAAGCTATCAATTCATTAGCTCTTTTGCTATGATTGAATGCACACATGCCCTGCCTCCAGTTGCTGTCTTTAATCTGGAGAATCTGAGAACATCCCTTGGGAAAGTAAAGGTTTCCAGGCGTTTATCATGAAGGTAGCACATGATTTAGTGAAAATATGTTGTACCATGAGTGTTAAACTGTATTTCTACTCCCTTCCCAAGAGACTCAATTCCACTAAATCTGGGCTGTGATTCTACAATTTGCATGTTTAATAAGCATCTTCAGGTGATTCTGAGTAAGGTCACTCCCCAATCATACTACTTATAGGATCCCTAATATAGTTGCCTTCTAGAGAAATAGAACAAATTGGAGATAGTGATACAGAAACTGAGGCAGGGATAGAGATATATTGATACATCTGTTCTTATTCACTGGTCAGAGACGGGAACTGGATTCTAAGAACAGATAACTTGGCACCAACAGCATACTCTGAGAAAATAATTTCATAGCACAGATCTTTTTTCCCAAAATTTAAATATTATTGTAGAGACCATGTACAATTATGTAAGCCAGGTAATGAGTACATTTCTTTTTGAACAGTGTTACCTCCTCCCTCATATTTTCCCCAGATTTTCCTCCTCCTAACCCCTTTCTCCCCCAAGTCATATAGTTCATTTCCAACATAGTGTCTAGTGAGTAGCACTGCTGAATTTGTTCATCCTTTGTCCCACGGTTCCTGTGTTTCCCCTTTCCATCCACAAATCAGATAAACTTTTATACAAGACAAAGGGTACGGAAATAAGAAACAGTGACAAAAGGGAATAAACTGAAAGGGAGGAGTAATTGCAAACAGTATATAATAAAAATGTCTTGTTTCCATTTATTGGAGTTGATTTGATAAGCATCAATTTACATGATCATATGCACATAGTCATTGAGCCCTTGTGATCCTCTCCTAAGCATATCCTTCTTTGTTCTCACTGTGTGAATGTTTAGAGTCATAGCACAGATCTTGAAAAATGAATAAATTTCATAACACTTGTTTAATTATAAACTCTCAGAGGAATACTGTTTTTTCCTTTTTTGCTCCCTTTTAATCTTTTCCTACTACTATTTAGTTGTATGGCTTTTAGGAGGTGAGCAAGAAGAAAGTAATAAGATTTGAAAAGATTGTGATTTTTTCTGATATGTTTTTCATATTCATATTGTTTATTTGCAGACCAGTCACAGTGTCCCGTTCAACTTTGCCACTATGGGTGATAGCTCTCTCTGTGTTTGGAGTGTTAGCAATCCTTGGAATAACTATTGGTCTCTTGGTTCATTTTCTGGCAGTAGGTTGGTATATATTGCACATACACACAAACACACACATACTACATTTATACTGTAGCAATTATTTCCATTTCTATGGAAGATAAAGAAATAATCACAAATAATCAATTATGCATTAATTATTCCAGATCCTATAAATAAGTGTTATTAGCCAAACACTGTATTTAGAATGTATTCAGAGACATGAATGCATAAGTAATTGGTAAATAGTGAATAAGAAAAAGAAACCAGATGTACCAAGATGCTCTTATAATAAAGAAGAGAAATCAAGAGACATAGAATTTCAACTAATTATTTCATCATAACAAACACAGTAATTTAAAAATCTCATCTATTGATTTTATAAAATTTTAGATATAAAGAAAGTTGGAAAGTGGTGCTGTAGCCCAAGTGGTAGAGTGCAAGCTAGCCTTCAGCTGAAGAGCACAGGGACAGCATCCAGGTGCAGAGTTCAAGCCCCATTACTGACAAAAAACAAATGAACAAACAAAAATAAAACCCCAGGATTTTTGGGATGGATGTGGTGGCTCATGCCTGTAATCCTAGCTACTTAGGAGGCTGAGATCTGAGGATCTCGGTTCAAAGCCAGCCCAGAAAAGAAAGGCCATTAGACTCTTATCTTAAATAAAACCACTCAGAAAATTGGAAATGGTGCTGTGACTCAAGTGGTAGAGCACTAGCCTTGATCTGAAGAGCTCGGGACAGCACCCAGGCTCAGAGTTCAAGCCTCATGACCGACAAAAAAAAAAAAAAAAAAAAGGAAAGTTTTAAAAAGTTGTGTGTTTTAGTTTTAGAATTTTTTTTTTAGAATTTTTCATTATGTCTTAGTTTTAGAATTTTTCATTATGTCCTACTATAAAAGAAAAGAAAATCAACTTGGTAATGCTGATTTCTTTTCTCCTGTATTTTGAACTAATTTGTTAGTTCTATTAAATTATGTAATCAGTTGTACCAGAAGGATTCTTGTGAGTTTATCAGTATCTAATGAACACAGTACCTACAAATTGATATTACTACACAATCTACATCTGGATTTGAAATCCACATAACTTAGATAATTCTTGAAACATTTCTTTATTTCACAGAAAATAGGACCTACTACTATCAAGGTAGCTTTAAAGTGCTGGATATTCCATATGATAGAAATTATGAAAGGGAGACATCACCAGAAAACAACTATCTTAGTAAAATCATTGAAACTAAAGTAAGTATTCTCTATATTTGTTAATTGTCAATTTTTAAAAATGTAAACATGATTGAATTTGATAATAACTCCATGCTCTCTCTTAACAGATGGCTGATACATTTCAAAGTTCGAACATTTACAGACAATATATCAATTCTCAAGTCATCACACTGGTGTAAGTAATTCATAGTAACCATCAGAAAAGATATAAAGTCATCATCCATGCACTTATACTTTAAGTTTCCCTGTCAAAAATAATTGATGTGGGGCTATTAGCCAATAAGTTACTAATACCCAACATTATCATAGTATCAAACTAATTGTCTAGTATAAAACCAAAGCAAAAATGGAGGCATTATTTTTTTCTTTATTAGATCTCTTGTGAATGTGTTAATCCACAGATTATACATGACTTATCCTTCTCATTTCCTATTTATTTCTGAAAAAAAAAACATTACATAGCCCTTTAAACCAGCATTTGATCTACTCACATTTTTATTTTCAGTAGCATAAATATATACTCCTTTTTCTTTTGTGATTTTATTGTATATCAGCCAACCATCCTGCAGAATTGGTCCTAGGATTCTTACTGGACATAAGATAGAAGACAGTATATCTACATTGGCTTTTCCCATTCATAGGGCTTTGGAGTAGCAAAGATTAGTAGAGAATAGACTGAAAACAGGAGTAGACCATCTGAGCCCATTGCCATTGAGTAACCTTGGAGCTTATATTTTGAGTCCATACCTCTATCATATGAATTATTAATGATAACAGTTGTCCTGTTGTTCTTATACATTACATTCAAAATAAAAAGATACAGTGTGTAAAAATATTTGCAAGTAGCCGGGCACCGGTGGCTTACGCCTGTAATCCTAGCTACTCAGGAGGCTGAGATCTAAGGATCGTGGTTCTAAGCCAGCCAGGGCAGGAAAGTCCATGAAACTCTTATCTCCAATAAACCACCAGAAGATCGGAAGTGGTGTTATAGCTCAAGTGGTAGAGCGCTCGCCTTGAGCTGAAGAGCTAGAGGGACAGCGCTCAGCCCAGAGTTCAAGCCCCACAACCGAACCAAAAAAAATTTTTTTTCCCCGCAAGTAAACACATGTCCAATGAAGATGATCATTACTATTACTTTCTCTAATGCCACCAACATCCATTCTTCCCTTGTTCTTGGACTCATGTGATCCTGCAATTGCAAAATAGAGTGGTGTTCCAACTAGCGTTGACACTCGGGGTCAATTTTAGTACTGCAAAGAGAAGGCAAACTGAAGTTGAAGGGCCTAGATACATCTTAGAAGTGACTACAATCACTAAAAAGCTTCTTTGCTTTGTTTTCTCATGCATGTAACTTCAATTGCTGTGGGAAGTGTGGGTCCAGATGAATGATAAAGAAACCAATAAAATTATTCACATTGGCATGCACTGTTGAAAAAAAAAAGCGTTTACACGAACTGAGTGCTTCCTAGGAATGATTGTTTATTTATCTGTCCAAATATTGAACATCTCACAGGCTCCATGATGAAACTTAAGGACTAGCATTAAAGCTCCTACAGGCTGTCCATCCTTTTCTAAATTCCAAACAAATCTCTGAATAACACAGTCAGATTAATCTTCAAATGCAGTTTTACTCTTGATCTTCTCATCACTACTATCCCTTGGCTAGCTTTAAAGACCCTCCTCCCTCACACTGTAGTTCCTGGCTGACCTCTGTAGGCATAGGTAACAGAGGGTAACAGTGCATGGTGGAAAGAAAATAGAATCAGCTGCACTCAATCCAACACACTTCAAAATCTTTTGAGACAGGGCACCATTATTTAGCCAGTGTCAGCTGTGAATTCACTGTGTAGCTCAGACTCATTTGGAACTTACAGGCCTTCGTTTTAGCCTTCTGTGTGCTGAATTAAGTAGCACAGCCATGCCTGGCTTGCTGAATTCACTCTTAACTTCTAGCTTAGTATGAAACACCTTACATAACCTCTTGGGAGCCTCAGTGTATAAAATCATGATATACTATAGTAGTGGGGGGAAATGTGGTCTAATGTGATAACCAAGTACCTAAAGCATAGTAGATAGATAATAGATACAAACTCATGTGATTTCCATCCAGTTGTTCTCTAGTATAACTCTTCATCTCTGAGTAATGAAGTTTTCTACTTGATGAAATAACATAAAAAATACCAGGTCATCTCTTCCTTTAATATTTCTTTATAGTTTAGGCAAAAATAACTTATCTTTCAACTGATTATATCGTGTTAAGCTAAATATCTTAGTACTTCTGTCCCATTTACTATAGACATTTGTATACATGTCTTATTTCCTTAAGGTCAAGAAATTCCTGGTCTTCTTAATCTTCACTCAATAACATTCACCCCAGGTGCATATAGAACATATTGATGAACAAGTGATTGATGAATGCATGTACAAATAATCCCAGATCTTACATCATATCTTTACCTGTGTGTCAGGCTTTCTCTATTTTTTTTGGATTAGTACAATTGCTTGTCCTGTAAATTGAATAATATATTCACATATGTTACCATAAATTTAGGCAGGTAATGATTCTGTGTTTAACCTGTAAAGTTGCTATGCAAAACAATAAAAAAGCAGAAGAGGCCAAGCTACGAGGAATTAGGGAACGAAAAGAAAATGCTATTTTTCAGCCATGAATGAAATCTTTATGTTGTTTTCAGTCCTGATAGCAACAGTGTGACAGCATTTATCTGGCTGGTTTTCAAGGATGCTAGGTCAAAGAAGGAAAACACAAGAAGAAGAATCGAAACTATCTTACATCAGATGCTGAAGAATAAGTCAGGACCCTTGACTATGGACCCTAACTCTCTTAGGCTTGTGGGTAAGCTCATATAGTAGATGAGAAACTTGATCTTCAGATCTCAAGGATTATAGGCAGGAGCTACTGGTGCCTGGCTGAATGCCATTTTATATTAGAGAAATTATTTGTATGTTTTGTTATTTAAGACGTATCTAGAAGGAGTGATATTGATCAAGATACTTTGCATTTATAAATGGCTTTGTTGAATGGCAACTCCTTTGTACAACTACTTGAAGATAATAAATATATAAATAAATAAATATATAAATAATTAAGCATAACCAGGTTAAAACAATGCCACACATGATACTTGGTTTGAAGGATGGATTGCTTCTTATTCGAAGATGTTAATACTTGAAGCAATTTTAAAGAGTATTGGTGTGCTTTATTTTTCATGCTTTCTTATGACTTATAAAAATAGCCTCGGATCTCTAATTTTGAGGCAAATTAATTTTAAATGTTATTTTTGTGTTTTGAAGGAACAAAGCTCACTTGTAGGGACTCTAAGATGATGCAGAATACAATTCCAATTAAGCAAAAGAAGTCTTACAGGGTCCTATGAAGATGACATTTCTGTATAATATATTCATACATGCCAAAAGTAGCATTCTAATAAGCTGATATTCTCTTATTTCTATTGACACTTTATCCTGAAAAGTGAAATTCTTTTTTGACCCTCCTGCTTAGCTGGACTCACTGTCTACTTCCATTGCCCTAGCACCAGATGGATGGATGTTAAATTATTATGGGTGTTGTTTTTGTTCTATTTCAGAAATCAATAAAGTTGATGCTGAGAAGATAATCAACAGCCGTAAGTTCAAATACTTTTGAGTTAAATATTAGACAATCCACACCACAACAAACAAGATTGTTACCCTTTATCAGGCATATGACTAAGTGCTTTAAGAGTAATTATTTCATCTTCTTAACAATCTTAAAAGCCAGGTGCTGTTGGCTCATACTTGTAACCCTAGCTACTCAGGAGGCTGAGATCTGAAGATTTCAGCTCAAAGTCAGCCTGGGCAGAAAAGTCTGTGAGACTCTTATCTCCATTTAATCACCAGAAAACTGGAATTGGAGCTCTAAAACTCTAGCCATGGGCAAAAGAGCTCAGGGCCTGTGTCCAGGCTGAGTCCCATGACCAGCAAAATAAATAAGTAGGTAAGTAAGTAAGTAAATAAACATTTTAGATATAAGTGTGGTTGCCATCTCATTTGAGAGATGAAAAAACTGAAACACAAAAAATGTAAAACAATTGTCCAGATTCACCAGCTTGTCCATGGTGGGACCAATGTTCAAACCCAGGAAGTCTGGTTGTAGAGTTCCTGGACTTCACAAAGACTTTTCTTCCCATAGCTTACCCATTCTTCAATTGCTGTTACTCTACCTAGTAGACAGGTGATTTAGGGACTTCTTATAATTCTTATAGGGATTACATTTTGCTCCTATCTGCACAAGACAGTTAAAAACATATAAGGCAAAGTCACTCACTCTGTGTCATAAAATAAACACTATCTTTCTCTTCTAAATGGAGCAAAATTGACCCCATATTCTGACAGGCTGTGGGAGACGAGCAAGGATGTCAGCTACTTATGACAGAATCAAAGGAGGTTCCACTGCTCAGGAAGGAGAGTGGCCTTGGCAAGCAAGTCTCAAGATGAACGGCAGACACTACTGTGGGGCATCGCTGATCAGCGAACGATTCCTGATAACTGCAGCTCACTGCTTTCAAAAGTGAGTGAGTCCTGGGTTGGGGATGCAGTGCATAGTGAGCTAGTCATGATGCACAAGACCCTGTGTTTCTTCTATAGCACCACAAACAAGTAAAGAAAACACAGTGAGTTTATCATATTCCCCAAGAATAGGGAGATCTAAGGCTTGGCATCCTGGTTTGGAAGAAAAATGATTTAATAACCTACCCAGCTCTTACTATGAAAGATGGAAAGAGTCATTCATTTCAGATACTATATTTTTTTCCTCACAGTAATTTTATTTTATATTGTTTAATACTCCACCCTAAGTCATTATAGCTGGTAAAATACATAATCTCCATCTATATGTGTCTTCTTTATGTGTCTGCATTACTTTCTTGGTCTTCTAGGCAAATATGACCCAACCTTAGTCCAAATGCTACTTTCCCTAAGAAATTTTCTTTTTTCTTAGGCATACAGTTTTAAGTCCTATATTATTGCCCCACTAATTATATGCACAGGTATTTTAAAGTTATTATAACTGCCCATGTTCATGGCAGTTATGACCCATGTTCATTAGATTTTAGATTCTTGAACCATATGCTACTTCTTGATCTTTATTCCTAAATCTCTATTTCCTATTGTGAAGGAACTCAAAAAGGAGTGTTAAAATGAATTAAGAAATCAGATTGTTTTATTGCAAATGGACTACACAGCAAGGAAATACTAATGTCATGAAAAGTGTGTGAATTATACACTTATATATAGGATTTCTACTATTTGACATAGAATTAGCATTATTCCAAACATAAATAAAACATACATGATTTTTGTTTCTTTAGGTCAAACAACCCAAGAAACTTTACTGTTAGCTTTGGCACTAGAGTAACTCCACCCTATATGCAACATTATGTTCAACAAATTATTATTCATGAAAACTACATCAAGGGTGAACATCACGATGATATTGCACTGATAATGCTCACGGAAAAGGTTTTATTTAAGAGAGATGTCCATCGAGTTTGTCTTCCCGAAGCCACACAGGATTTTCCACCAGGGGAAGGAGTTGTTGTTACAGGATGGGGAGCACTTTTCCATGATGGTAAGTCCAGTGAAAACTTAATAGAGGAGGCAAGGTACAAAAGCAATGTGAAAACTCAGCAATCTAGGCACAGAATTTAAGGTAATGCTTACTTCCAGATGCTTTGTTCTCTAAGGATCCTTCAGAGAAAGGTGCATGTGGCGTTAGGCCTTAGCAAATTGCTTCTATTTGGAATATTGTAGGAGGTAAATTTGTATGTAGAATCTCCTTATTTGGAGAAGCTAGTTGAGAAAATCATCATCCAAACAGATTCGAAGGTAAGTACTTTGAAAGGCAACATGTAAAATCAAATTATACTTTGCATATGACTCCTTCATTGGTTTCAGTGAGAAAAGTGTATAGACTTGGTCATCTTCTGCAGAAGAATCAGTCAGCTCTAGGTCTTAGTGTGCAGAGGACAGAGCTAGGCTTTTATTCTGTAGCGTTCCTCAACAGCACTTTTCCTGACAATGTTTACTTCCTTCAGGCGAATATCCACTGTTGCTTCAGAAAGCACCCGTGAAAATCATTGATACAAATGTTTGTAATGCTAAAGAAGCTTATAATGGTGTGATACTGGACACAATGATCTGTGCTGGGTACATGGAAGGAAATATCGATGCCTGTCAGGTAATTCCGGACATTATTCACACAGACCACGTAATATATAAAGAATTGCTACTATCTTACAGAAATCATCAATAAGGAGACAATGCAATGATTTGTAATTTGGACATTTTGCCAATGTTCTCAGCTTTGGCACTAAAGTAATTGTTCTCTATAGACAGCATGTGATTACTTATATTTAAAAACCATATTATATTTACTCTAATATAGTCCAGTACTATCCTAAATCCTGTTTGTAAGAATTAATTTATTTATCTTTATTACAATCTTAGCATACGCATAGTGTTTCATTTGACAAATGAAGCAACTGAGGTAGAGGAAAGTATGTAGTAACATCTATTAAGTGTGAAATTATTAAGTGTGGAACTTGTGTACATCCCAGTCTACCTAGCATCGTAGTGCAAACTCTTAATTGTATTTCAAAAGATCAATCTCAGAGATGATTGAGTTACTACAGTTTATTCTCAAGATTTTTTGTGCCAGTTTTGGTGTTAGAACTTTTTGCTCAAGTCTAGTGATCTATCACTTGAGCTACAGCTCCCTTCTGGCTTTTTTGGGGATATTTAATTAGGGTTAAGAGTCTTATGAACTTTGGCTTTGAACTTTGATCCTAAACTCTTAATCTCCAGAGGAACTAGAGTTATAGGCATGAGCCACTGGTGTCCAGCTTCATCCCACCTTCTTACCCATCTGTGGCTAGAGTTTCAAATACTTTCCTCAAATATAAAACTGCAAATGTCAAGTATATTCATTCAAATGATATGTCTCCTAAAAGCTTTTTCATAGAAGTAGAGTTTGTGCACTGTTAGATCACACCTGTAAGTATATGCAAACACAAGGATGCATTCTGGTCAGCCATAGTGGAGGCAGATAAGGGAGTTTGTATTACATTTTTTTTTGTTGTGGTCTCTCTGATATAACAACCACTTACAGGCTTCACCTGAGCTTATTTCCTATAACTAAGGTGTCTGAAAGGAAATTGTCCTCATGATACATGTGCTTTGTTTAATTTAGGGTGACTCTGGAGGACCACTGGTTCACCCAAATTCTCGAGACATTTGGTACCTTGTTGGAGTCGTGAGCTGGGGAGATGAATGTGGCCAAATCAATAAGCCAGGGGTCTACACTCGAATGACGGCCTATCGCCACTGGGTTGCCTCCAAGACTGGTATCTAAGAAAAAAAAAAACATCTTGTAGCAGCAAATGCAAGTCAATTTTGGCAGCTACTCCTACTTAATATACTTTCAAAATTAGCATGTACATGACTGTTTAACTTAAACAATCATGTACAAGAGGTATTATTTATGTACTTTTATTTAAACAGTCCCAACAGGACAAAATGAGAAATCTCAATTTGGGTCCAAAAAAGCCTAAGTTAAAAAAAAGAAAACAAAAACAAAACATAGTCTTGTCCAAAATACTATTGCAAAGAAGTGGCACCATGGCTCAAGTGGCAGAGCACTAGCCTTGAGCAAAAAGGAAGTGCTGAGACAGCACCCAGGCCCAGAGTTCAAACCCCAGGATCAGCAAAAGAAAAACAAATCTATAAAATATAATATTATCTTCTGTTTCAAATAACCTGCATCATGGCTATCTCACCAGAGCACGAAGATTTAGTTTCTTATTCTGTCAATAATACTTTGTAAAATTATGAAAGTATGTTCTCCATGACAGATTTGGAGGCAGAATGGTGTATGAGAGAGAAAACACCTTCCACCCAAGATTGCCTCTGCTCTCATTTCATAGCCTGTATGGAGGGCGTGTGGCTGTGACCTTGTACCGTTTGAAAAGAGATGTTGAGCTGTACTCTCTTATTTGTACTAGCATTAATCCATTCTTATAACCATTATGAAAGAATATCACCACCAGACACAAAACATGCTTTAAATTCATAAAGATCAGGTATAGTAATTCTTTAAGGAGTCACTGTGGAAATGTCTTATTTGTAGCATATTTTAAAAAGTAGTTATAAATTTAAATTTTGAAATTATTTTAATTATAATGAATTTAAAGGAACAACATATTTGCTCTGTGACAGTTTTTCCTTTTCTTTTTGCCTCTTCTTGGTTTACTCAATAGTTTGCACGTAGCTTCTTCTCATTCTGTCTGTGTGTGGAAGTGTTAAGTGTTCCAATTCAAGATTAAAGATATGTACAGTTTGGAACTCTCCAACCTAGAGTTTGGATACATGATTGCCTATCTTCTGGATGCTTCTAGCTTTCCATCTGTGAAATGGATCCCCAAGAAGCTGCAGAGGTGAAAGTGAGGATACACAGATGCAAAAGGGCCTGTTTCAAGTTCATCCCTGGGAGACTGGTGGCTCTCATGATTTTCAGGCTTTTGCTCCTGATTTTCAGATGGCTACTGGTGTCCCAATGGAAGGCTAGGTCACTGCACTGGCTTTACATTTTAAACAGGTGCCAGGAATCTTGACACTTCACCACCAACCATGACAGTGTTCCATGCTTTACAAATTTTCATGTTGGAAACTGAGGCAGAGAGAGACAGGAGAGGAGAGAAGAGAAAGAGGAAGAGAAGAGATGACAGAGAATAGAGGAAAGAAAAGAGAAGAGAGGAAGAGAGGTAAGGAAGAAGAGAAAAGAGAGAGAGGATCATGTTTCCTTAAAGTCAAATGGATTGGGTCATAGGGGAGCTCTATGTGGAGTCTTTGAGGAACCTCCATACTACTTTCCAAAGTGTTTGAACAAGTTTACACTCCCACCAACAATGCAGTAAGGTTCCCTTCTGGCCACATCCCCTCCAGCATCTGTTGTTATTAGAGGGGGTGAGGTGGTATCTCAATGTTGTTTTGATTTGCATTTCTTTTATGGCTAGGGAGGTTGAGCTCTTCTTCTTGTGTCTATTGGTCATCCTTCTTTCTTCTTCAGAGAAGTTTGTCTTTAAGTCTTTAGCCCACTTACTTATTGGGCAGTTGTTCCTTTGAAGATTTGTTGTTGGGGGATTTAATTTTTTGAGTTCCAAGTATATTTTAGATATGAGACCCTTGTCTGTTGTATGGCTAGTGAAGATCTTCTCCCAGTCTGTGGGCTTTCTATTGATCTTGCTAGCTATGTTCTTTGTCATGCAAAAGCTCTGCAATTTCATGCAATCCCATTTGTCCAACCTTTCTTTGATTTGTTGTGTTTCTGGGTCTCTTTTAAGAAAATTTCTTCCTGTGCCAAGGAGACCTAGGGTTTCTCTTATTCCATCCTGTAATGTTTTCAGGGTGTCTGCTTTGACTCTGAGGTCTTTGATTCATTTGGAGTTGATTCTGGAGCAGGGTGATACATAAGGATCTAGCTTTAGTTTTCTACAAGTAGTTAACCAGTTTTGCCAGCACCATTTACTGAAGAGGCTGTCTTTCTTCCATTCTATTTTTTTAGCTCCCTTATTGAAGATTAGGTGGCTACCACTTTTGGGCCTTTACCCAAACAAGACCACACTAAAGCTACCAGCACAACTATGTTTATTGCAGCATTATTTACCATAGCTAAGATATGGAACCAACCCAGATGCCTCTCAGTAGATGAATGGATCAAGAAAATGTGGTATATATACACAATGGAATTCTATGCCTCCATCAGAAAGAATGACATTTCCTCATTTGTTAGGAAATGGAAAGACTTGGGAAAAATTATATTAAATGAAATAAGCCAGGCCCAAAGAAACATAGGTCTCATGGTTTCCTTTATTTGCAATAACTAATATATATCTGAGACAAGCAGAAAAGGTCAGATACAATGATGGCTAAATGAACCTCAAGATAAGGACACAAGTGGTTTTTTTCTTTCTTGCTATTGTTTCTAACATATTTATAAGGTACCAGGTGATATTTTTTGTTGTTTTGCATGTTCCTCCCCCATGGTATAACCCCTGTTTTCACTGTATTTGATGTTGGTATAATTTGGGGAGTGGAAGGGAAAAACAAATTGTTTAAATAGGGATACAGGTTGACCCATTGTGACAGTGAGATATACAAGACGCTATGTTGAAAAACGAATTTTACAATTTAGGCGTTGTTGGGGGATGGGATGTAGTTTTGGAGATGGGAGGGAAGGGATGGTAGGGGAAAAACAACGGAGGAGGCAACAAGACTTGATAAGAAATGTACTCATTACCTTGCTCATGTGATTGTAACCCCTCTGTACAGTATTTTCACAATAAAAAACTTATAAGAAAAGTCAAATGGTAAACATTTGTATATAATAGATGAATGATTTATTCTTGCTCTCCACAAACTTATTAGAGAAATGTGTTTTGATTGAGTTTTTAAAAGCTTAATGTATACTTTAGATTATGGCAATAGTTTTATATGTAAGTAAATGAATTTATGAATTACTTTTTCTGATACACACATATATTTACTTAAAGGGTGACAAATGTTTATTTTTCAGTCTTCTACAATCTATATTTTTCTTTTGTGAACAGCAGAGGGTGCTGAAACTCAGTTATCAGGCTTCAAGTATTCCTCATAAATGTTGCATGTACATTGTTAACTAGTCAACTCTCTAAAGAATCAAGTTCATTTCCAACAAGAGGCAAGAAGATGGCTAAAGTAAAAAATCTCCTTTTCAACCTTTTTTTCTTGTAAATAAGTATAAATCAAGGTTATTTATGTACACTGTTATCAATTTGTATCATTTATCAAGTGAATGACACCAGGTCACTAGGCAAATAAACTTTATGAGGGTAAATAATTATGGGGCATGGTTATAAACAATTCTAGGAGCCAGGCACAATGACTCACATTTGTAAAGCTAATTATTTTGGAGGCTGAAAGGTGATGGTTCGAAATTTGAGTTCAGGAAAAGCCACAAAACAGAACTGTTATCTCAACTATAATAATAGGAATTATAAGTAGGAAGATTGGAGTTCAGGGCAGTCTAAGCATAAATATGAGATCCTATTAATGAAAATTAATGATAGCAAAAATTACTAGGGACATAGGTCAAGTGGTAAAACGTCTGTCAGACAAGTATAAATTCTGACTTCAAACCTCAGTGTTACCAAACAAAATAAAACCTCTAGAAAGAAATATAGATTTATTTTAAAACTCTATTCCTGTCAAGGAGAATAGCAAGTACTATTATAAAAATGTGTATATTAAACAATGGATTCTGAAAACTACATTTAGCAGAGACAAAATATACTGTAAAATACTGTAAAACTAAAAGCAAGATAGCTATAACTATTGTCATGTGTAGACCCTTACATTTCATTTCATATGCCTAGTTGCATAATCAGTAAGAGTAATTCAACATCTGAACTCTTAACACAACTGTATTTCAACGTCTGCCTCAAATTCCTCTTTTTTGCTCATTTATGGAGTTGCAATTCTCACAAATTCATTGTCACCCTTAACACTTTTAATTTCTCATTTTCTATTATTTTTCTCTAAGTTCTAAACCTGATGGACTCTAAGATCTGTGGCAATTTATCAGTGCATGAAACCTATGCATACACACACGCACATGCACACATATATGAATGTATGTTTTGAATATGAAGTCAGTGCATTCATAGATACTTTAACTTTTATCAATGAATGTCATTCTTCAGGTCTCTACTTAATCTCATATCCTCAGAGAAGATTTCTCCTGTTCTTTGTAATAAAGTACCCATGTCCTTCCACTCAGGTCCCTATTCCTTTTCAAATTCCTTCATAGTACCATATTTGACATTACATTGAGTATTTATTTGTTTACTTCTTGTCTTTGCTCTGCCTCTAATGATAAGGTCTGTGCTGACTTCACCACCATCACAAGAACAATAAGAACATGCTCACCTAGGTAGACCTTAACTGAGTATTTCTGAGGAAAGAAAACTGATCCATGAAATATTAGTTTCAAATGAATATAAAAAGCAAATGAACAGATTATGTTATATGCAGACAATTTCAACTTCTCAATGAATAACTCAAATCAAAATAGCACCAGATGACTCTTGACTTCATCTTTAGTCACTGTTGCCTCTCTGCCTTTCAGAGAAGTTCTTGTCAGTAGGTGGGACAGCACAGAAGTCACAGTAAAATGGATGAGAAGGGATGCAAATTTTTCTTCTAAAAGGCTGCAAACAAAATACATGGAAGAACATTGCTTTGAGATACAAGTCCATGACATAGCTATTACATTTAGTACTCAAAGGCTAAAGATATTAGTCAGAACTCCCTCTAATC